GATAAAAAAAAAAAAAAAAAAAAAAAGGGAAGTGAAATGTGCTTCCTGGGAATAAAAGCAAATAGACCTAATATCAAATTCTGGGCCTACTGATCTCTGACCCTGACAAAATAAGCACATTGTTAAAGTGACTTTAGGAAAGAAGTTGATCTGTGACACTTTTACCAACATTTAGTCAGCAACAAGCACCTCTTGTTAGGTGTTTGAAAAGAAAAAGTCACATTTTTCAGATTGGAAGAGTTTTCAGACAGGTAAACTTCCCCCCTCATAGAGTAATTACTTAATTCTGAGCATTTAGGAAATATGAATCTACTAATTCAAAAACAAAAACAAATTTCAGTTAAATATATTTCTTAGTGACGTTTATTTTTATATTGAAATCTTTTGCCTGCTTGTCAATCTACTAAACAGGACATGGATTTTTTTTTATTTTTTATTTTTGGTGACCTAATAGAGGCTGTATATAATCTCACTTCCTTATTTCGTAATCACGAAATAAGATATTTTGAAAAATGTTTTGACAGCTTACCAGTTATGTTAGAAAAATCCTGAAACCATTTACTAACACAGAAAATTAAAATGCAATCATGGAATTAGATTTCTCGCCTTCACTATAGCTACCTTCAACCTTCAACTATCTTGGAAAATTAAATTTCAAATGAATACAAATTTAAAATGATTCCTTAATGCAACCATTTTGAAACTTTAATTCCATAAAGATACAAAATCTGTGGGTTTTGTAAAACTGTTTAAAAGCCCAAATAAAAAGCCACTAGGCTTTTAATTGTTTAAAAGTGTGTATATAGATGAAATGAAACTGACTCATGAACTATTGAGTCTGGAATTTGTAATCATAAATCTTATCCTTGTAAACAAAACCTAACAAAATCAGAGCCCACAAATTTCCTTCTTTCGTAATCTAAAACAAAAATTTTAATGATTTTTCACGTACACAGAAAATTAAGGGTGCACTTAAAATATTTATTAGCTGGCTATAACTCAGTTTTTAAGAGTCTGGGGTATAATCAGAGACAGTTGAACATTTTGAACATTCTGGTACTGAAATGTAGGACAACATCCAAGAATGAAACACTGGGATTTAATTTAACCATAGAAGTCAAATTTGTGCTGGGAATTTTTGTTTACAATAATGCTTCTTCCTCGATCCATAAACAACTCCCATCTCCATGCAGCCTTCCATATGAAGTTCTCAATCCCCTCCAAATAGTCTGCAGTGGACCATTCAGAACCTGGTGCCTATTTCTTCTAGAGTCCAGACAAACCTGCAGGTAAGCCTGCCTGAGGCCCTGGGCTAAGCAAACCTGTGCCTCCGAGTGACAGTGTGGACTGCCACATTCTCTACATCCCATCCCAAATCTACCCTGGGCATCTCCAAGTCACCAAAGCAGGAGGAGAGGCACCTAAGATGCTGAAGATGAAGGGAATGGAAAACTATTCAAATCTAACCACGTCCGTTTACAGATGAGGAAAACTGAGGCCCTGAAAGGTCCAAACTTACTCAGTTACCCAGGCCGCAGCTGCAGATACTCAGTTATATGGATCATAGCTGCAAAATACTTCTAATTCTTAACGTCTCAGGGGTTTGGTACTTTCCATAACACATCTTTAAGTACTCAATTCATTCATTCCCCTCCCCCACAAAAGAAACCTCTAGAGAGAGAGAGATCAGTTGGGCAGCAGAATTAAGACTTTCATTTAACCTTTCCGTTTCCACCAAGATAATTGCCGAGGACCGTCAGCTCCCGGAAGACAGCTGTCTTGCTGCAGGTCCCCTCTCCAGCACCCAGCACCCAGCACCCAGCACCCAGCAGGCCCTCAGTCTGTCATTTTCCGCCTCCACCTGACAACCCCTATTCCTAAGGCATCCGGGCCGAGCCTTCCGTGGAGCCGGATAACTTTCCGCAGCAAATCGCCCCCTTTCGTAAGAGTTGATCCAGTAACTCAGGGCCAGGAAGCCGGCCCGGGAGCGCGCGGCCCTCCCCGGGCGCCAAGGAT